CGGCTAGTTTTGGCCGAAACTGTCAGTTCCAATATAAAGCAGTGGTCTACGAATTTTCGGTAAAGAATAGATAAAAACATAGTACAGTAAAATCCTATTTTTGTGCCGAAGATAGGGACAGCATAAAAAGAAACCGCACAAAACAGTATGTTAAAATTATTTCATAAATACTTATACATAACTAACAACTTTGTCGACGTACTACCATTTTTTTTTGCTACGGAAAAGGACCGCATAAAATAAGTCGCACTTAAAAATATGTCAATTATTCACGAAATTTACGAGAAAGTACTTCCAAACAAAATAAATTATTAAATTCCACGTGGAATAATTTTTTAAAAATTTAATTTTTCGTCGTATACATGGAGAAATTTTCAAAAGGCTTACATATAATTTACTGCTACTCATCGCAATCCAAAGCGCGTATCTTCCTATGATTAATTAGTTCAAAATCGTTCTCGTCACTTGAAGACACAATTTTAATTGATTTATATTTTGCCTCTATAAAGTAAGTGATAAGTTTTAGTGACGACAGTCGGTTGGTTAGTTGCTTGGGAACGTCGGGATAACTAGGTATGCGTTAACACTTATCATGATAATTTGTACGATTTCTAATTAATCCCTTAAATGCCGATTAAAAGTTCCGTGATTCGTTCCCCAATGCACGTATGTGATGTATTGGGGGAGGGAGAAAAAAGAACGCCAATGTGAAATCTAAGTATTTTACCACTTAAGCCAGATGTGAGAAGTACCTCTGATTTCTTGAGCGTACTTGAAAGTTAATGCTGACAGGGTGATTAAATATAATGATCTGGGGTCAGAAATGTTTAGTGGTTAGGCCTTATGTTTCGGAGAAATAATTGGGAGATTAATTTAATACTTGAGAAGATGTAATGAAAAATAAATTTAAGTGCTATATAGGGAATTTAATTTTACATCTAATTTAATTATCCTTACATATATACATAAGAGCAAATCTTCTGAAATAAGTAAATCCTTCTCAATCTTTTATTGCATTCCAAAGCCTTCAAGTAATTTTATGGTTAGCAGTGCACACAAAAGATCGTACTCCGGAAAGACACACACACACACACACACACACACATATATATATATATATATATATATATATATATATATATATATACGTTCGGGGAGGCAAATAACGGTTTGGGTGAGCGAGACGTTTATATACGCCGGTGGCACTTAAGTGGTTAAAGACGTGTTGTAGATTTAGCGTCAAAGTATAGTATTACTGAATTCTATACAGTGTTTTTATAAGGAATGAGGGTGCGATGAAAATTATGGTTGAATATTGGGTTGTAAATATTAAAAAGTTTGAGAAGTTCTGGTATGTTAAGTTGATAATACATTTTGTTTGCATCAGTACATTATGATGCATTGACTAATATACCAAATAATTTCAAATGCGTATCACACGAGACTAAGTAAGCTAAAAATGTTTGGATACTGCTTTAAGATATTCATAAATATATTTTGCTTTGTTCACAAGATTAAATAAACGCTTTAACACATAATTGAATTGCTACTGAAATATTTATTTAAGGTACCCGACTACTTGCGACAACTTTTAAAAAATGAGATATGGTGATTTTTTGTGGTTTTTAGATCTATTTAGAACATTTTAAGAAAACTATGCTAAAATTACGAGGAGGAAAATTAATTATTATCTAAAGGGGAAAAAAGTGATAAAACTTTATAAAAAACTACATAAACGGGGCCTATTTTGTACAAGACGATTTCGAAAAAATTTTCAATTCCTTAATTTTGATATGAAATTAGTTTGAAATATTATTCGTTTTTGAAATGACCTTCAGGATAAGATATATTTTAAGGTATCCGACTACGTTCGGAGCCGTGATTTTGCAAAAGCGCATAAATGGATAATTTTCATGCTATTTAGTGTCACTTAGATTAGAATACATGTAGAAATTGTCTTAAATACATTTTGACAAAAAAAATTCTTTAAATATAATATTTTGGCAAAAAACTTACTTAGAATATCAAATTTTCAAAATGCTCTCCTTTTGTGGAAAATGCTTCTATTATAATAATATTTTGCCTCTATATAGCTCAGACATCTGTACAGAGGCTCAACTATGAGTTTTGAAAAATTCAAATTATTTTCAGAGTTACAACCAATTTAAATAGTTATCGGCGTTTTTTTTTTTAAAATTGCTCCCCTCTGTTGTCGTAAAATATGAATAAACCCACTTCTAAGTTATATATTTCAAAAATTCTAGTTGAGCCTTTAAACAGAGGTCTGAGCTATATACAGGCAAAATATTATTCCAATAGAGGCGTTTTTCACAAAAGGAGAACATTTGGAAAAAAAGATTATTCTAAGTTAATTATTTGCCAAAATATTGTATTTAAATAAATTTTTTGTCAAAATGTCCTTAAAACAACATTATGCATATATTATAATATCTAAGTGACACTAAATATCCTGAACGTTATCTATTTATGTGCTTTTGAAAATCACGGTTCTGAACGTAGTCGGATACCTTAATTTTTACAAAAACTTGAACCCTTTATCTTAGTTATTATATGAAATTGCTTAAAAAAAACAGTGATTATATTCACATAAGGGTTTGTAAATTTTGTAATAAAACAGTGTTTGATAAATCTGAAGGTTAAAATAGTTCTACCATTATGCAGAACATACACAAAAAATTTCACTTAATTTTTTTCAAAATTCTTTCACCAATCGCTGTCCCCTTTCGAACATTTAAAATAAACCACATTTCAAGTAAAATGCATTTTAAAGTATGACATATTGCTTAAAGTAGGTGGTACCTGCTTTTAATAAAACACTTGTATTTTTGCTTTAGTGAATTGAAAATAATGAGCTTGTTATTTTTATAAAGCTAATAAGATAGCCTATAAAATAAAATCATAAAAAATTGTCAATTTTTGGCAAAATTCTTGATTTTAGGGTATTTGGTTACCTTAACTAAGAAAATACTTAGTAATTTTGAAACACATTCATGATAAATTAATTATATTTGTAGCATATGCTTTTTTCATTATTCAGGTGACGATCACAACGATATTTCAAGTTTTAAGGAACTCAGAGCTGAATTTCTTAGCAATTATTTAAACCTGTTAGTTGTATATATTAAATCGTGATCGTCAAAAGCTTCCCATAATTTTTAGATTAACCATTACTCTTGGATCGACAACATCAACTTATAAAAATTGCTTTAAAAGTGCAGCTCTAAGCGCTTCACTTCAGAAATATTTCCAGAATCATTCTTTTTAATTCAAAGAAAGGGAAGACAAGAAGAGATTACCCACTTATGCAAATTTTATGTTAACGAGGCATTTTCTTTACAGATGATGCATTTTTTCCTTATACGAATTCATTTACATCCTTCGCGTGTCTGAAGAAATGAAATTGAATTATTAATGGATGTATTTCACAAAAAAACTATTTCTTAATTTACATTATTTACATTTTTATCTATTTATATTCCTGATTTCTAAGTCGTTAAAAAAAGAAAATAACATGTATGTATTTAAATTCCTTTTCAAAATATTTTTCAGATACAAATATGGTATCACAATAACACGCGATAAGCAAAAGTTTACATTTTGTACAATTTAATTTATTAAAGGACGATATTAGTGGATTGAGCTTCTTTCTCATCCTTTACTAGAACAGAAAGCTAGTTTATTAGCTATCTTTGCAACATAACAAAGTCTCAGAAAACACTTTTATTTTATTATTAATTCTATAGATAGTCTCTAATCTAGTTTCTAAAATAAAATAAATGCTAGTTCTAATTAAATTTTTAAATAAAAATAAATACCTAATGCTATATTTTTTTACACTTTTTCGGTGCTTTTAAAATGAGAGCAAAAAAAAAAAAAAATTCTACAGTTTGACGAAAGATGGTCCCCCAGTGATTTATGGTAGAAATTATCAGATGGAAAATGTCTGTCGTAAAGTTGGACATCTAGCTACACCGTAACCTTGAAATATTAATGATTTTGTGTTAGGACCGCACAATTTCTTTCGTGCGGAAGTGAGTTTTAAGCCGAATAAGAATAGTTCGCGGGAAAATTATCTTCTTTGATTTAAAAGAAATTGCAGTTGAGGAAAATCGACTGCTTGTAGAAGCATCTGGTTAATGCTGCTTTGAGTGAGTAGTTATCGTGAATGGTTTTCAAAAGCTTATATAAGAATGACGAGTGTAACGTAAAAGACAAATAAATTAGCGGAATTATTGGAGGAAGATTTATGCCAAACGTGCAAACTTACGCTTATGTTAAAAATGACTCTACAAGCAATTTCCCGTCGTTAAAAATGGTTGAGAAGGATTAAAATACCAGGAAATTGGCTTCCACATTAATGTTGAATTCCAATATTGTACTCGTAAAATACTGCTTGGCAGGCATAAGTGAAAGAAGAATTTCCATCGTATAATCACAGGTGAAAAATGAACCCACACGACACCCCCCCCAAAAGAGAAAATCTTAAGAACCACTTGACCATGCTTCAACAGCAAATATTCCTGGAGAAACTCGTGTTTTGTATTTGGTGGGATCAGCTTGCTGTCGTGTATTATGAGTTGCTCATATCCTTGCTCTCATATCGTGTATTATGAGTTGCAAAACAATTACTGGAGTCTCTACCGATGATAATTGATGAGATTCAGCCGAGCACTCAAAGAGAATGCACCCACAACACGGCAAAGTTATTCTCCTGTATGATAATGCTCATCCACATGTTGCGGCATCGGTCAACACTTACTGGAAACACTCAATCGAGAAGTCCTACCCTACACGCTTTATCATCAGACATAACTCTTCCGATTATCACTTGTTCCAATCGATGATTACATACGATGTGAAGTGCTGTCTGAGTAGCACTTCATATTATATGAAAGTAGCAAAGATTAGGTCAATTGGGGGATAGTAACAAAAATAATAGTCCAACAGCTTATATAGAAAGGAGTGTCGTTCGCTGTGTAGTTGTGGCGCAATGGATAGCTCGTTGGACTTCTAATCCAAAGGTCATGGGTTCGAATTCCACCTGGGATGACCTAATTTCTGAGAATGTTACTTCTTTTTTGCTATACTTTTTTATTAAAATAATGAAATTTTATTAATGAATAAATAATATCAAACAAACAAAAAACAGCCCAACACCATATATAAAATGGAAAATCTCTTTCTATTTTGTCACTTAATATTTTAATTCTGTGTGTCATATATATACATATTTATATTAATGGTAACTTTTTAATAAACAGTAATTAAATTAAAATTTTTTTTTCTTTGTTAAACTAAATATATAGGAATTGACTTAATTTTTTTACATTACTTTTGTTAATAAGAAAACGACAGAAAATTATTTGTACTCCTTTAGTAAATTAATTGCTATTTTTTATATGTCTTAGATTGATTGAATTGGTTACCTTGATTCCGAGGTAGAATTTTAAAATTTTCTTCTTTTAAGCTTAATCGTATTGATTTTTTTTCGGTTTCAAAGAACTGCTAGAACTAAAGAAAAAAATATGCAAGCAAATGCAATTTAAGTTTTTCTCAAAAAGAGAATGTTTCATTTTATACCATTTAGAGGGATTTATGAATCCCAATTAAAGCACTCCGTGACGCAAACAATGCACGAATAACCGTTATTTATACAAGCACAATATTTTTCTATTTAGTTCAGGCTGTAAGCGGAATTGTCGATGTTCCCAATACAGCAATAAAAATGTAAAGTAACTGTATCAAATGTGGGAACTATTCATCAATTTACTCTTAAATCCGCTTTCCAGAAAAATAAATAAACTCAGTTTCGTTCTATTTTAACAAACACGATCCACAACTACACTAGTTCTTTTGGAGAGTAAACAAAAAGAAACACGATTCTGGGAGTCATTTTATCTTCTCGAAGTTAAAAAGAACGTAATTCGAACAATAGAAGCCAGGAAAAAATTTGCATAATGGAATGGCTTTTTGAGGCACCTCCGAATCTATTTGATTTAAAGAGGACTTTAATGTAGTTATTATTCATGGGATGACTTTGTGTTGGTTACTTTGGTAACGATGTCTGTTCGAACTTAATTGGTTGGGTTTGAGAGGATTATGGGAAGAATTCCGTTAAACAGAGATGATTCGAAGAAAATAAAAACACATATTTTGAAGATAAATGTCTTTTTTTTAATTTAGCTACTTTGCATATTTTTAAATAGGAAAGAATGTTCAAATTATTCCTTTTTGTTAAACTAATAATCCATTAGTTAACAACAGAAGGTATAATCAAAAAGTAAAAACAAATTGAGTGAACTTATTTGCAAGGGTAATATACAAATAACCTTATTAGATCTTTTAATTGGTTGTACTATTTATTTTAGACTAGACTTCTTTTTATAATCGTACCTATTGAAACATATTTAATGAAAATATTGCGTCATTAAACATATATATATATATATATATATATATATATATATATATATATATATATATATATAATATAATATCCTATTACATGCTCATTCTGAAATACTTTTAATTTAGACTATTCTAAATGATTAAATTGCTAGACGTGTACTGATGTAAAGTAATACATTTTTTAAGGTTAAAGAATTTTTTTGAATATGCTCATATATATATATATATATATATATATATAGGCCAATTATAAGTACACTTTTCTAGTAAACAGCATTTTGCAGTAGAAATGGATGAGTGGATTTGCCGCAAGATTTTATATATAGAATTTACATGAGATATATTCAAAGAATTTTAAGGAAAAAAATCCTAGTTCAAAAATATGCATTACCAGGTGCTTTACGTAAAAAACAATAAAGGACATAAGCGACAAGGAATGCATGACCATTTGAACATTTATCAATAAGTTTTAATTACCACTTTACCAAAGTACATTAAATAGAACCAGATAAATCAATAACATTGCACCTGTGATAATAAAGAAAAACCGGTATAACTTGTAAAATAGGTTGTTGTTGTGTTGTGGCTAATGCCACCTGTCTGACGTAGTCAGAACGAGGAAATGAACGAAATTCATCGTGGCATGGGCAAGAGGTACGCCTGTCGTTGGCCTTGAGCACCATACAGGTGACAGTGCGATTTAAGCTCGGAGAAACTCCCCGAAGGAACGATAGATGGCGACACGACCTCTATCTCCACCTCCACAATTTCTGCAAGTGAACTGAAGGGGAGGGAAATATTCTCCAGTTCCTGCGCTAGTGAATAAGCCCACAAGAAATAGGTAAAGATTATAACCATGGAGAGCTAGAGTTCCATGTATCCAGGACAATGTAATGAAAGTTGCTCAGAATGACCACCATTGTGCACCTTAAAATTGTTTCGGCGACTAGCTGTTGACCTTTACATGGGTGTTTGTTTGAACCACCGACCTACCCGTGCGCAGTTACGCTGTGCATGCCTTAGACGACTGAAACGATAGAAATCCCTATTTGGGCCAGTTAAGGGCTGTTGTTCCTGTCTTTTGTTGTTTTGTGACTTGTAGAACCAGGCACCGCTGCACTTTCAAAACGATAGACAGTATGTTTACCAGCAGAAGATAACTGATTTTTGTAATATTTTGCATATAAAACGCAATGCAGCTCTTCTAGTAGGCCAGCGTTTTTTGAGCTAACGGTGGTGCCATTTCCTTCTCGGACAATACCCAGTGACAAGATTTTATCTTGTTTACGTTGCTGTTAGATAGTATTTTGGGTAAAATTTCTTTAATAATAATGTATCTGAAATATTACAAATATCAAAAAAGAAAGAAAGAAAATTGTTACAAACTAATCATATATATATATATATATATATGTGTGTGTGTGTGTGTGTGTGTGTGTGTTAATAATGTATTAAAATCATTATATGTATGGTATTAATTATATATTTCTTATTTTTCATAAAGATTTTTAATACAAAAAATATTTTAAGTCTATTTCACTTTCTACAAATGCTGTGAATATTTATGCCAGAGGGTACATTTTTATGAGTTGCAGGAAATTTCAACCACACAAATAATTTACAAATGAATTAATAATATTTTTGCTTATTAAATTTATAGTTATTGCTTATTATAACATCAAGATACCTAAAGGAGTAGAAGTAAGAAGGAATAATCGATATATGTATATATACATATATATTACTTTAGATAAAGCTAAAAATAATTCTTTTTTCCCTGCAAAATGCGGACAAAAACTCTTAAAATGAAGAATGAACTTTTTATACTGATATTCATCAAAATTGCTTACTTTTAAAAAGATTTATTTTCTTTATCTTTTATAAAACAATGAAAAGTTTGAAATGGAGCATTTAGAAGCTTGAAATCATTTCCGGTAAAAAGACAAATAAAAGAGCTATTCCAAGAAAAAGATAAATACCGAAAATAAAGATGAAATCCTTGCTTCAGGGAGCATCAATGTCAAGTTGAATTCTCATTTTAATCGTGACTTTATATTACTTTTTAAAGCCTTAGAAAAGTTTTCAGTACAATACTTATTTACTTGGACTCAAACTGACGTCGAGGAAAATATATTGTGCATTTGATTATTTGGCGATTAATAAAAAAATCTTTTTTTTTTGTTAAATTAATCTTAATATTTAAAGAAGTTGAAGTTAAAAGTTTCGCTTTAGACGACATTCTAAAAATTTGTTTGTGTATTTATTCTGTATACAATCATAGAAGAGGATGAAACGTAATTCATGAAAATAAAAAATCTGTTTGTCATTCAAAATGAATCTTTATGAAGGTCTCTATTATTTTTATTGTTCGTTTAATATGATTTTGTTTTGTTCCATCGATTATACTTCTCCAGCAAGGAATATATATATATATATATATATATATATATATATATATATATATATATATATATATATATATATGTCTAAAAAAAGGCGAGAGACAAAAATTATTAAGAAAAGGAGAAATAAGAAAATAATTAATAAAATATAAACATACATAATCTCAGTTCAAAGTATCAATAGCGAATAAAACAATAAAAATAATATAATTTAAAATTTAGCATTAGCTTTTTTTATTTAATTGAGTGCAATCTCGGACTTGGGACCAAAAAGTGTGGTTAATATAGTTTGATGGTACTAACCCCCTCCAGATTACAAATTGGTAGGCTAAAGTGGAAGTATCCAGATGCACTAAAATCACAATAATCAAAAGTTAAAACTTCAAAAATTGAAAAATTCTCCGCTGTATTTTGAAGAATATATATATAAAAATCTGTAAATAATTCAACCAGTACAGAAATTGCATTTTAGCTTTGGGTAAATTGTTGTTGATATTTTTCTAGTTCAATATTTTGCTGTATATATATTTAGTTATTTTAATATTTTTTTTATTTTAAAGAAAGGAAAACCTCATCTGAAATTTAATCACTATTTTTTATAATATTATTGAATCCAATTTAAATTTCATCGAAAATATCTTAATATCTTTGTTTTTATTTTTTAGATTTATTGCTAGTCATAAAGCAATAATAAAGCTAAACATCTTATGAAGCAATTGTAAATATTAATTAAAAAAGAGCTATTAGGAATCACACACATGTCAAAAGTTTTCTTTCAAAAAAGTACCTCTATTTTATACATTTAACACAGCTGTGCGATATGTGTATTATTTTTAATAAAACTAAATTGAATTTGTATAAAAATCGATTTTATAAAAAGATCATTTTTAATTAATTTATAAAAAAATTCTTTTTTTAAAGAGAAAATTAAAAATGTTAATGTTTTTCAATTCCTACTATTAACTCACACTCTATCTATATTTATTTATTTATTTATCTTGGTGGAAATTTACATTTTAAAGCGTTTAATCGAGCTTACATTTTACATACAGGATTATTTTGGATGGCAATCAGTAATTTAATCATAATTAATAAAAATTAATTCATTAAATCTATTTCAAAGAATTACAAATTCAGCCACGTTGGCATCATTTTTAGCGACCCTTTTGGCGACTTGTATCAAAACTTTAAAACATTTTTTTTTCTCACGTTGTAAAGCATTCAGTTGAACTGAAATTT